AAAAATATATCAGCCGAAGAACACCACAAGGCTAAGACATACGTGGCTAGCGATTAATTACTCATTCTTCTATTTTTCTTTCTACAAAGGCTGGCAATCGATCCTAAGTGATATCACCGCCCAGTGATTCCAGAAGCTATCCTCATTAATATTATCCATTGATGCTCTTGGATAGAATGAGGCAAAACTCGTTGACGTTGGAGTTCAATGCAAGTACCCTGGGATTAGCACTTCACCTGTCCTCTACAACATAGTGGTAACATTTTGAACGACCTCTAAATTACCTGTTGAACTATCCACAATAACAACGTTATGTCCCCTGCGGCTAGAAGAGTATTCCTGACCGTTCACCTTGATGAAAGAGAGCGGGAAACCAGTGTTTACGTCATTATAGCCTTCGCTTCGGACGTAAATATCCACGACAGGCACTGAAGAAAAAGAAATAGTGAGGAATGCGAGTATGAACAGGAGCGTCATACAGAGAGTCGTGAAATGGAGAACGGGAAAGAGAGAAACATAGATGAAGAACGGGAAAAGCAAAGGTAACGAAGAATGGAGAACGGAAAAATGGGAAACAGGAAACAGGAAACAAAAGGGGATCATTCTCTTCTATTTCCAAATTCACCTTCATTTGTGAAAAGTTCCAATCCACTCTTTGTGTGAAAACAGGGCGAACTTTTCGTCGTGTCGTAATGCTTGAGATCCCAGGTGAGTGCCTCTTCATAATAACACCGCCACTGGGGTGTTGTCTGGCCATTTATGACGCCATAACGAGCAAATAGTCGACCATTGCAGTCAGTCACCCTGCGATGAGCCCAGTTATTATAACAATGTCTGTCCCTAATAACTTGCAATTCTGACGTGGAAAGGCAAGGGAAATTATTAATCATATATCAATTATCCTGTTTTAAAATCTCAGTTCAGCCTTTTTGATCTCTCCCAAATATCAGAATAAAGAGTCGCTTTGATTTAGAGAACGCTCGTCAGGTGTCTAATTGCATCCAAACTTATACTCAAATTAAAAACAATAGCAAACTTTCCTTAAGCTTCTAATTCCACATTGTACGCTGATGTACGTGTGCGTACGATGATGGATGTGTGTGCACCTCAGCTAAACTCCCCTTCGTTTATAGATCAGTTCACCCGGACGATGACGATTAGTTCAAGGTAATGAAATACATCTCAATCAGTTCATATCTTATCTTTACCTTGCCTCCTTCGGCACATTTCTTCTCCTCTTAGGCTCGCATCACACATGCATTTCCCTGTCATTTCATTGCAAGTTTCTCCTTCCCAACATGGTGGATCGCACAAGCAGTCTAGTAAAGAAGACAATGGTTATGCGGAGGGTGTTCACGTGGTAATATCACAAAATTTATCGCTTTCTATTCATCAGTTTATCTCGTCCCATCATAATCGTCGCCACCATTGTCATTATGATCATACTAACGTTGAGAGTATAAAGGCAAGAAGATATATCGGCGTGTTAACATGAAAGAACAAGTCGTGTTAGGTCGGCTTAGTCAGCATACGACTGGTGATTTGCACTTAGTTTAATAATAATTTTTGGCGTGTACCTCATATAAATGGCCTCTGGTATAATTACCCCGTTTTTGGCGCCAGAATGTTGTCCCAGGGAGTCAGAGGACCAATTACTCCCCTTTTATTTAAATAGCACGCGACAAATTTAATACTTGTATAACGATCAACCGAAGACTTTGAAGGAACAAATAGAGATGCATGGCTTGCCCTACGAATTGTAGTTAACATTTCCTTACGACTTCAACTGTCAAATGCCATTTCACATTTAGAACAATCAATCTATTTGTTTTTCATCCATTAAGATCACCGATCACTTCACGTGCACCTCCGCTAATGTAATCTATTGCATAACTTGCACTTATTGCAAAAAGATATACATCGGCGAAACGGGCAGAGGACTAGGTGACCGATTCCGAGAACACCTTCGAGACGTGGAAAGGAATGACAAGGACACATCGAAACCAGTCGCTAGACATTTTAATTTACCTAATCATTCTAAGCAACATATGGCAATCTGCGGTCTTTCCTT